TGTTTTCGTAGTAGCTGTAGTCGCCCAGGTGCATCGAGTGTACGAAGTGGTCGGTTATATGTCAAATACTAACCTGGCGAGCTTGAACCTGAACTTGGCAACGCTGTTCCTTTAGCCGACAACTGTTCGTGACATTACGTTACAAAATTTTCCGAGCATCCGGGCATCGGCAGGGCAGCCCTCGTAGCGGGAGTTATGGGTTGATTTCCTTCATTTTTAAAAGTCGAGTAAAAAACTTTTTTTTCCGATTTTCTGTCTTTATTAAGCTTTCCGAATACGTGGTTAAAATTAATGACATTATGACTGAATCACCCTGTATATTGCTTATAGGTCACTCTCGCTTCGTATTTCAAAATTTTTGTGGACTGGAACGTTTAGATGGAGTACAATTTTTTTCCCTCTTGCCGACATATTTTGAATTTTTTGTGAACACGAACATTTAGATGGAGCAGAATTTTTTTTCCGGCATAAAGTTGAAAATTGTGCTCTAAATGTTCAAAGAAAAACGAAGGTGGTTTTGATTTGCATACCATGGCTGGGGAAACCGTGGATAACATCACATAAACTTTTCATTTTTCGGTAATGAAATAAATATTTTATTCAGAGTCGATCTTGAGGTACTTTTGCAGCCTGGAATTATACAGTATTTGTACAATCCTCGGTTTTGACCCATTTAGACATAAAAACAATGATTAACCAAACTGCCAAGCGAACCACACACCGTATGTATTAACACAGAATGGGATGNGTATTGTAATCAAGTGTTCTTAGTGCATACCAATTTTCTCCAAAATTGAAGAACAAATCAATTTTCATTGAAATCACTTCAAGGTTGATATTAATTTCAATGTTTTTACAGCATAGGGCTGAATATCTTTAAAACTCTTTGAAATAATTAATAAAAATAAATAAAAAATTAAAATTTATACACTCTATGTATCTCGAAACAAAGCATATTTCGACCTACCGCTTAAAAAAATTAGAGAGGTATTATTATTTTATTATTAAAAGCTTATCCAATGATGTGTACCAAATGTAATTTGAATAAAACCTTCAATTACCAGAAGTTTTGAAAACATGTTTAATTTGAGTCACTCTGTTTAATTTAACGTAAGATTCAATCCCTCTTTTTACTGGAAAACCAAAATATTGAAGAAAATATCTTCAACTTCCGTGCATATATTTTTTTCTTAAAGGAGAAGCAGTATACAGGGTGAGTAACGACGAATTGACAGTAGACGCAACTTTGTAACAGGAAATGTTACGCTGTTTTTTAATATGTTTTAATTGTAAAATATCCTATTTGCCGAAAATAGCGAAAATCTCATGTCAAAAAAGTTATACAAGCTTTTAAAATTTATTACATCTCTAAAACTATTTACTTCAAGAAAAATGTCTTACGACATAAAATTTCGTCCTCTTTCAAAAACTGCGGAAGTATACCGAGTGTTTTATTCAAAATAAGAGAATTTATGTCTTTCTCATTATTTTTGAAGGATGTATTTCGAAGAAACAAAATTACATTTATGTACCTAAATTAATTGCAGAATTACGTTTATTTTTTACTCGTCTTTTACACCCTGTATATTTGCAAGACAAAGAATAAAAAACAAGAGACTCACCCTCATTTTCAGCATGTACTCAGGTTACTTTTCTGAAAAAAAAAAATAATAATAAATTAATTTCAACCGACCGACTGCTATCCGCTTGAGTAAAAAAATAAGTTATTTTCTCGATGCAGCAGATAAAACTGAAGAAAAACTAGGATTATCAATTACTAATATAGATCAGGGAACATTAAAGGACGTAATTAATATAACCGCAAACGTATCCTCTTAGATTGATTGTGAGTGTCATTGGGTTTGGGAATTAACAGTACTTTCCTCTTTTTACAAAACAAATGGCAAGGGAAAAGTTTTGCAATCAGTAATTTGGTTATAGTTCTTTCATAGATGCTACCGAGTAAATCTTTTTACGATTGTGGCTGGTTTTTACGACATTAATCCTTGGGTCTGGTATGGTAATCACATGACCACCCACGATTTTTCAGGATTTTCTGTAAATACTAATGTGGAAATTCATTCTGTCATTTGAACAATGATTTGCAAGAATCGTATAGCAGCTATAATAATGCAACAAAACAGTTATTTACTTATAAAATTAAAGGAGTTAAAAAAAATAAATGTTCTAACTTCCCAAAGAAAATGTATTTAACACTAAAATAACACAACATAATAATATTTGTAGTTACTTACACAAAAAGTAATAACAAGAAAAACAATTAATTAATATGGACAGAAACGGATGAAATTTATTTTATGAAGTGTTGAAACTGTTTAATAATGTAACTTTTTTAATTGTCATATTTTTAACTACGTAAATATGAGAGATTTTCCTAATTTTTAAGCTGTTCTTTTCGGATTATGAAACAAAAACATTTAAATAGGTAAGAAAATATTTATACGTCATTTTAGTAAAAATAATAACTTTGAAGTTACAAAGTTTATATAGATTAACTATCTTATACTAAAAGAAATAAAACATAGTCGGATTTTAAATAAAAAGTAGACTGATAAGTGGCAATTAATTCATATGTTATATGAAGTTATAGAAATTGTTAAGCTCTATCTTTCAAAACAAACCGGAATTAAATCGTTTAATAAATATACAGAGTGATTCATAAATAGTGACCAAAAATGAAACCTCGTATTCTTTGGTGAATTTTAAGAGGAGTTCTTCCTATAAAGTTTTATCTAGGACGCTTCGTTAAAAAGATACAGTGTTAAACTTAAAAAAATATTTTTAATTTTTTTAAATAATTTAAATGAAATAGGAAATGAAATAGTTTGAAATTGGACATATGTATTTATGTAAACATTGTCCAAAATCTGAGGACTTTTCCTAAAATTTAAATGCTCCAGTGGCGGGGGTATGAGTGGCATATTTTTCTAAATAAATTAGTAGGCCACTGCTTTGCGGTAACAATCATGATATTTTCGGATTCGTCCTTCAATTTTCTACAAATACTACTCTCTTATGTTTTTCGAAAAAAGCCCTATTTTCGAGTAAAACTTAAAAAACTAACTGAGAACACACTTCGATATTCGAATATAATGTTTTTTAAAATTACTTAGTCGGCTGCGATATCAACTTTGACAGTCTCAGCAGTTAGAAGAAAGAATAATGCTTTTCATCTGATTCAAGCAACAATAATTTCGAACAAATTACATTTTCGTTACTAAAAAGATGTCGGGCCTTTGTTCGTGGAAATGGGTTTTTTTGAGCATTTACTCAAATAAAATCAATAAAATGATTACTAATTTTATTAATTTCTGTATTCGAATAAATAACAGAATAATTAGTGCTTTTCATGTCATTTAAGTAAAAGTATTTTCAGTTGTTTTTTTAAGTTTTACTCGAAAATCAGGCTTTTTTCGAAAAACATAAGAGTAATTTGTAGAAAATTGAATGATGAATCCTAAAATATCATGATTGTTACCACAAAGCAGTGGCGTACTATTTTATTCAGAAAAATATGCCACCGATACCCTGTATCTCCGCCACTGGAGCATCTAAATTTTCGTAAAAGACCTCAGATTTTGGATATTGTTTAAATAAATACATGTGCCAAATTTCAAATTATTTCACTTACTAGTTTTCAAAACATTTAAAAAATTTAAAAATATTAGTTTTTTAAGTTTAACACCCTGTATTTTTTATAACAAAGCGTCCTAGATAAAAAAATTTATACGAGACTCCCTTTAAAATTCACCAAAGAATAAGAGGTTTTATTTTTGGTCACAGTTTGTGAATCACCCTGTACTTTTAACAAAGGTGTTTCCATTTTACGTTATATAAATTAATCTGTAATTATTTCTTTTAATTCTAAATTTTTAATTCCTTACAAAAAACTTCAAAATTCAATAAAAAAAAAATATTTGACCACTCTGTATATTAATAATGTTACAAAATTATGTTCCAAAAATTGTCTATGACTGGAAAAGCAATTTATAATTATTTCCACTGCCTTAACACCAAATACTATAAACGATTCACTCAATCAATTTTTAATTAGCACTATTTTCACGTTAACAATTTTTTTTTATTCAGGAAACTCACACTATATGAACCACAAAGCATCCGTCACTAAATAAATAAATAAATTTATTAGCTTAATTATAGATTCTTTACCTTTAGCTTAAGTACTACAAAATTTGAATTACACAATTTATGAATAAAACTACCCCACCACCGAGCGGAACTCAATGATCAGAAGCTATCGATTTTGGGAAAGGTAAAAAAATATAATGTCCAATTCTTAATGCACGTATCCAGACAACCCCTTATACGAATGGTTGTGATACTGGTTGCATAAAAAGATATATTTTATTATGTTTAAACAAAATATATATAGTAGTGTTTAGTAAAATTAAAAATATAGGTGTATAAAAACAGGGCAGATATTAAAATATGGAGGAAAAATGAGAAATTTAAGTTTTCGAAGATGAGACTTAGGCAACCTTTTATACAGTAATATGTAAAACTAGTTGCCTGCGCAGTTATCAACTGAAGGAAATCTGCGTTATTTCCGAGAATTATTTTATCCTTCTCCAACGCATTACGTTCTCATAACATCCGCCTTATCCCCGTCCCACTTAGAATTACGGTTTCCGAATCATAACCTGTTCCTGTTATAGAATAGTTATTGTGCTGTAAATTTATTGTTGACGTAGGTTGTAGGCGAGATAAAAGAACCTTTAAAAAAATGGTAAACTGAGCAATACAAAACACAAATAAAAATGTTCTCTAAAGCAATACTGTTGACGTGCGTGATATTAAAATTAAGTGAATCTCTAAGCGTCCCGACTGGCGAAGCCGAATATGAGAAGTTCCTGGAAAACCCTAGCTATCTCAACTATGACGAATTGACTAACTTATTTAAGAAATTGGAAACGGAGCACCCGAATCTCGTAAGGCTGCATTCGATAGGGAAATCGGTGAAGAACAGGGACCTATGGGCCATAGAAATAAACTCCAATGTCCCCAACAGGACGTTGCTCACCCCCATGTTCAAGTATGTTGCCAATATGCACGGGGATGAGAGCCTGGGTAGGCAGTTGATGATTTATTTGGCGCAATATTTGGTCCGTAATTACGGAAAAATCGACAGGGTGACCAAGCTGGTCGACACAACCGATATTTTCCTAATGCCCTCCATGAATCCAGATGGATACGAAAATTCTGAGGTATGTTTATTTTTGCAATTAGCAGAATCATGTTATTATAAACGTAGCGTGAATTTTCTAATGTAGGTACTTCCCAAACACATGACCACAGAGCTTCCTGGAATTCAGTGATTACCATTTTTATTTTGTTTTTGTGCATGTCTGTACATTTTAATGAATTGATGCATAGGTACATTGTAATGGTATACTATAAATAACTTTTTTATTTCCCAGGACATCATACAGATTCTGAATTTATTAAACCATATTTGAAAGATTTGACCTCCAAGTCTTGACAATCTAAAAAAATTACCCTTGCATTAAATTTTCTGCTGTTTCCTGATAAATAAAACAAGTTTAATAATCCATGTCCTCCATATTTAAAGCAATTCCTCTTTAATAAAATCAAAATACAATTATAAATGTATGCTTGAGTTGTTTATTTATTTACTCCTACCTGTTCAGATAAAGATATGTTTTTTTAATCGGTAAATTATAATTAAAGTAAATCGTTTAATCTGTTGAATTTATTTTTTATTACTTGACTAGAGATAGATATATCTATCGAGGAAAAAACTTTTCAATTAAAAAAATGCCTTTTATTTCAGGAGGGGCGTTGCGAATCAAAACAGCACTACGTGGGTAGAGAAAACGAGAATGCTGTGGATCTCAATAGGGACTTCCCAGACCAGTTTGAAGTCGTAAGAGCGGGTAAATATCAAAAGATTTAATCACATTCCTCCGTCAAGTACAAACTCAGAGATAATAGTAATAAATAATTCATAGTATGCATTAGAATATGCATAAATTGTAAACAGTGCAATAGTTGTAGTCTCATTTGTATTAAAATATGTACCGGCTTGAATAATGTTCGTTTTAGGCACGATTCTATCTGGTCGACAGCCAGAGACCATAGCTGTGATGACATGGATCATATCAAGGCCGTTTGTTTTGTCTGGAAATTTACACGGGGGTGCTGTTGTTGCTAGTTATCCTTACGACGATTCATAGTAAGTCATTTCGTGCAAAACCGAAAGGTATACAATAGGACAATGATATATAATTTTAAACTTTTTCTTTCAATTTCTGATAGTATTTAACCACCTAAATATATCTTAAAAAAATTAGGTCAATAGGATTAATAATAAGTGATATATTTAATTCTGAATTTGTAAGACCCCTAAAAAGGTCAAGACTGCGGGAGAACAGGTAATGATGTCACGATACCGGCCACTCGGCGATCAACTCGCGAGCAGTCGGAGAAATGTGTAGATATTTGCTATACTTTTACCTCTATTTTTCTACATTTTCTTTTGCGTTCCATTTTGTACAAATGTACCCAACATACTAGACTCGGTACTTGTGGATGTATGCGACAACGTGTATGTGCCAGTAGTACTTTGACTAGTATTTGAAGCAACTCAGAACCACCCTCGTTTTTCTTTGGTTGCCCGTCTAGGGGGTTGTAAAATATTATTATTTAAATACAGGGTGATTCAGTCATAATGTCATTAATTTTAAGAGCAGATAGAGAAAAATAAGTATAATACGATGGCGTGATTAAAAAAAAATTTAAATGCATATTTAAGCTGAAAAAAAATATTTTCAAATCATTATTTAACCCCCTTTTCGGGCTGTTACTGACCGGCTGACGTCACAATATTATGCACGGCTACGATATGAACCTATGAACAACGCGCCCTAGATGCAACGTTGCCATATTTATATATTTTCGCTCATATAAAGACAATAAATAAACGGTTTTGCTCACGTCAACCAATAATAATTTAAAATGCTATAAATTATTTTTTATTTATGCAATCAACATATTAAATTGTTATTGTTGCCCAGCAAGAACCTCGAGGTCTGAGCATGCCTTGCCAAAAATCAGTTTTTATTAGCATCATAATTTTAATATTTTAACAACATTTGCTGTAAGCCCGAAGGGGAAGGTTTTCAAACAATTCTACTAAAAATTAGTAACGCGGCCCATTCAGATGTTCAGGTAGAAAATGCGGCCCAATTAAACGATCGCCATTGACATTGACACCGAATCTCCTCTGAAAGCTATACCACCGACGAGTAGTGTGCGGGTAGTAGTGTGTTTCATCTGACCAAATGTGACTATTATGGCTGCAAAGAAATTAGCTGTTTCACTTTAAATAAGATTTAATATTGAAGTTACAAAACCCCAAAAGTTCAAATAATTTAAATTTCATTTCATAACCATTTCAATTTCGTTACAGAAATAATGTCATAAAAAACCAACACTCACTAGATAAATTATAAAGAGAGGATAAATTGTATGCAGTATTTAAATATTGACTGCAATTAGAAGAGAGACTTGTATATTCCATAAAAAAACAATGGGACGGAGACAAATAAACAACTCGGTACG